AAAAAAGTATCTTTTTTGCAGTGGTGATTTATTGAAAATAACAATTTCAGTTTTAGATATGTTTATTTTAAGTTGCCAATTTGAGCAATATTGTTCAAGTTCATTCAAAGCTTGCTGAAGTCCATCTGATGTTGTGGAAATGAGAGCCATATATATATTAATGAGTTTCCTGGTGTATTATTCAATGTTGGTGGTTCTGTGTTTATTTTGTCATGGCGGTCTTTAATATCATTAATGAAAACATTAAATAATTTTGGACTAATCACACAGCCTTGTTTCACCCCTTTTGTAACATCAAAACTCTGGGTAATTAAATTTGATATTTTTATATGTGCTTTAGTATTGGAGTACATATTTTTAATGAGACAGTAAACCCTTCCATTGATAACATGTACAAAGCCCAAAATAGAATTAGAAAATAGACACTGTAATAAATGTAACACTAAAGCATTAGGAGATGAAAAACATTTCCTGCTATTTTGTACTGGCTATATAGAACAAAGAAAAAAACTGTTTGATGAGTGTTCAATAAATATTTACACAATGGATGTGAATTCCATATTTAAAAAGATTATGGAGAATAATATAGCTTTAGCAAAATACTTAAAGAGCACAATTTTTAAAACCACAGAAAGTAATTAATTTATTTTTTTATTTTATTTTACTAACATTTTATTTTTATCTCTTATGTATTGTATGTATTTATGTTCCTTACCATACAAAAACCCTCTGAAGGTTTTTTAGTAGTGTAATAAAGTTATTAATTTTTGTATAAGAAGTTTGTAAAAAAGTCCTATTCTTCAAATTGAATCAAAAGCATTAGCAAAATCAACAAAACATACAAAAAGCCCCTTTTTCTTACATAATTGTTTTGAAATTAGAGTTTTTAAGACAAAAAATATGATCAATAGTATGATGGTTCTTTCTAAAACCAGCTTGGTTATTATAGATTAGTTTGTTCTCTTAAATATAGTTATTAAGTCGAGAATTTATTATGCTACAAAACAGTTTACCAATACAACTAGATACAGATATTCCTCTGTAGTTTTGGGGATCATGTTTGTCACCTTTTTTATATAAATGTGTAATTATACTGGTACTCCAAATATCCGGAAATATTGAAGATTCATGAATTAAATTAAATAATTTAACTAGAAGATCAATTAAAAAATTACAACTGTATTTCAAAAGTTCAATACATAACCATCCAATATACCGCACGTCGATGTCAACATCTTGCACACAAACACAGAAATTGACTCTGCCCAATATCGTCAAGCTGACCAAAAAAATGGGACGAATGTGAACTGGGACGAATGTGTTGGAACGAATGTTAATTGCATTGGGACGAATTGACTGTGAATCGCCCCTCCAGTATCCCTCCTCCATATACCCACAGTTTTTGAGGGAGTGTGATATACTCCTCATTGAGTCATCAATAATTATTAATAATAACTTTATTACACTACTAGTACTATGCCATCAGAGGGCGCAGTATGGGAAAATAAAATACAAATCATAAAAAATACATGAGGTGGCTGAAGTGTTAGGGTTCAGGCACAGTCCCTCTATCAAAGAGGGACTGTGGATCATAGAGGGACTGTGGTTCAGGTTAGCGGTGACGGGGGCATTATGGAACTCTTTTCTAAAATAAAATAATGCACCACCCTACCTTTGCTACTGGATTGACTCTTAATTACGCGAGACATCACAATGGAGTACATGTACATACAGGAGACAGACTGTCATACATTGTATATATACAATCACCGCCATTGCATTGTGTAATATTTTCAAATTTCCCCCTCGCGGTCTCGCTTCAGAAGGTCATGTGACTAGAAAAAGCGTCGGGAATTTCCAAGCCCGTACGCACTTTTTAATCCCTTCGGGTGTTTGAAAGTGAGACATATAACAATAGTCAAATTTTAATATTCATTATAATATTTTCTGATACATTTATTGTGGAAATGAAAAGTATTTCACCCACTCAATTAACTAATCTCGCGAGGTTTCTGTGAGATTTACCTTAGCAACAACTCAAAGATGGTGGACTCTCTGACAACAGATCAGGCCAAACGAATTGCAGATTTGCCGGTAAAACACATTCACACCCTTATTATCAGGGAACTCATTTCAAACACTTTTCTAAGTATCCTTGGACGAAATCTAAAAGACTTCGCCTGCCTAAGTCGCATGTACTTGTAAACAAGTCGAACATCGAGATCGTTTGCGTTTGGCGTTTTGCTTACTACAACTGGTAGCTGAGAATACACGATTAATGATCATATACATATTTACTGTTGCCTGAACTGTTTCGGGATCTTTGGTGGTTTTCTTGCGGGTGACTGCGGTTTCGAGTACCTGTCTGTTATCACGTCGCCAGCATGATATTAAAGCACGTGCCTTTGTTTACAAAACAAAACATTTCCGTAACTACTGTACTAAAGTTAACAAACTTTACAAAGCCATGAACGTTATGTACCTGGTACTATTTATAAACCTAAATCAAAGTCCCCTAAATATTTTTAAACGGCAGTTATTCATTGTATGATCGTATGCAATGACTTTACATGTTATAATTTACGTCGGGTTGGACGTCCATGGATTGTCGCTAAACTAAAACTAACAAAATATTTGGTAGGCAGGTAGCGTTTTTATTTCATTTTATTTTTTTCCCAGTGAACTTATATTTGTTGTTTTGTTATCACAATCAAGCTTTGATTACAAACTTAAGATTAAAACTGCAAAAACAGCATTACAATAATAATAATAATACAGTTTTATTACACCATAATGAAATTACAAATTCATTTTTTGCTGAAAGTAATAAAATGTAAGGTAAAAAGGTAAGTAAAAAACAGAACGTTAAAATAACATAAGATTAGGTAGTAAAATTGCATGTAAGCAATAAAGCATGTAGCACTAGGTGAAGGAAAAAAATATTTAGCACAAGTTTATAAATGCTTACCTCTAAGGCATATTGGTTCATATTGTGATACACAACGAACAATTTATTAACTCATAACAACCTACTGAAGGAGATTAAACGTTACAACAACAAAAATTACAGATAAAAATTAATCAAATTACAATGGCTAATAGTTTAAAGAAAACCAAAAACAGACTAAAATGAAGCTAGTAACGGAAATATATAATAAAGTAAAATGAAACACCAACAAAAAAACTATAAACTGAATATAAAAACAAGAACCCAATGAACACATAATGGGTATAAAAAAAAAAAGTCAATGACTAAGTAGGTGCTGCTGTCTAATAACAAAGCTGTATTACACAAGCATTTTTCAAATCATGGACCTTAGACATACCACTGTACAGTGCATTTACTACCATTAGAGAATTGTACATGTATAATATATATTACTAGACTACATTTTTATCCAAGAATCTGCTTTTGCGAATCCATATTGAATCGCCATATCTATCAAATATTTGTATCATAGACACTTGTCTTACTACTAGTAGTACTCTTGACAAGGGAAGAAACACAATGGCAAAAAAAAACAATGTAATACAATTTTATGTATGTACAAAACAATGATGTTGGCATATAAAGTGGGTATGAAAAGTAAAAGAATTTAAAATCCAGATATGATAAATATTTACTTATGTCCAGGAGGATCAAAACGCTGACCAAATGAAATCTTAAAGCTTATGCAATGATACAAAGCCAAGTGAAAAATAAAATTTCTGCACATCTGTAATCCAGATAGAGGTTTTGACCTCAAGAGAGCATTACCTGAATGTTGAATATTTGTTTTATTTTTAAATTCCAATATGGCATAGTGAACACTGTTTTTCTTTTTTGTGTGTGAAATACCTACCGGGTAGTTTATATATATATCAATAATGTGACAACAAAAAATCGTAATGGCAAAATGGCAATGAAAAACATGTTTTTACGCATAATGATGGCGACCAAACCAAATGACTGATCAAAATTATTATTTTCAAATCGATTGGTTAAAGCACTGATGAAAAACAAATGCTCAAAATTGTTGCCATTTTTGCTAGGAATCAAATAATAATTTTTCTGCTGTCGGAAGTAGTTAAGTATAGAGATGCAACATGTTAAATTTCAAATCAGCTAACTGTGGCATCATTATAAAATTACTTTCTGTTTAGAAGAAATCTAAAATGGTAATTACCAAATTTCGAATCAATGTGATTTTCAAGCATTTTTTTCTGTTTTTACTCTTTTTTCAGTATATTCGATGTGATGGGAAAAGTCCCTAAAGTTTTTATTTGTGAAATACCATAGGTATCCTACATTTATATACCAGTAATGCTACAACATAAATCAGAATGCGTAGACCCTCAGACAGGGTTCAAAATTGTCAATTCCGGTTTTACTTCATTCCAAGATGGCTGACAAGGTAGTGGAGGAAACTGTTCAGCATTTTTCACTACACACATTCAATTCAAGTAAAGACCTACAAGTTGACAAAATTTCATAAGTGCTTTAATAATTCATTGCAGAAAATGAAGAAGTAAAGACAAAACAATAGTATTCAATTTTATGCTAAATTTGATCGATTGCATCTGAAATTAAACAGTTGGGAACCCCTACTCAAAAATAGGCTACGGTAATTTAATTGTTCACAATAATGACGATGACAGCCAGGCTATTAGTCTATAAACTTGTAAGATAGAATCATCACTAATTTTG